CCACAAAGAATTCTTGGGGTACTTGCAGCCTTAAATATTTTGGTGTTTTTGACAGTTAAAGCAGTTCCAATCTGTTTCGTCACTGTATTGTAGTTATGCATATAGGAAAAATTGAACTAATTCTCGTATTATTAATCACTCTGTGAAACAGGCAGGGGAAGGATCATTGCCACATGAATTTACACAAGGCGTGGAGGGGATTGCCGGTGGTTTTATTTACACAATTCAAGGTGAGTATTCAGATTTGCTGTAACAGTTCAATTCAACAGTTATGTTGGTTGATGCTTCTTCCCGCCATTGATACACAGGCAGCTGAGCTCAAGCAAGTCTCAGACGTATAGAATACTGCATAACCTAGTGGTCATGCACCTTCCAGTCTGTTTGGAATATTCCATTGGTACACATTTGTGTATTCTGGGCTTCTAGCATCTGACTAGGAATTCTTGTAACTTCCCCGGCCAAGTTGCAGCCTGCTCTGGCTGATGGTACACAGCCACTGGGCCAGGTGGTACCCCAACTCCCACGGGAGTTTGAGGTTTGTCAGAACTTACAATCTGAGGAAGCATCAACACAGGGTGGTTGGGTGTTTTTTTTTTGAGGATCATATTCTAGTATGTAAAGTAAATTATTGCTTTCCATTTCTAGCAAAGTAAGGTGGAAGTACATATTGTTGAGAATTTCACGTCTAATTGGCAGAGCCCTATTTTACTCCTCTTACTTAAGAATGGAGATCAGCATTGCAAAGTAATGTATAGGCTAGGCTAGGCTAGGCTTTCCCTCAGAGGTGGGCGTCAGCAGTTCTTCCACCTTCTCCCTACCTGTTTCACAGAACAGGAGGTTAGTGGTGGTGTTTACTGCTGCATCTTCTAGCCACCACTCTACCTGGTGATTGTTGGCTGAAAAGAGGAATACCAAAGTACTGCTGTTTGTGCTCTTCGTCGTCTGGGAGAAGGGATGGAGAGATGAGCTGCCTTTTCCTCAGCCTGACCTCCACTGCTCTGCAGAGGGAGAGGGCCAGTGGCTGCTGATGCTGTCATCAAGGGTTGTTTGTGCACCTATGAGCAGTTGCTGCCACATGTCCTCTCCCTCTGTATGGAGAACCAGCTGCCACAGGTGCATGTTGAGGATGGGGGTGCTCCATGAGGGACATTCCTCACAGCTGCCTAGAGAGAAGGAAGATGTCGTGGTGATTGCTGCTGCTTCATTTCAGAGATGGTGATTCAGGAGTAGGTGGCAAGCCCCTCTTGAGATACTGGGGTCTGCCATGTGCCTGAGAGTGTTAATCTGTGACACTAGCCCTAGTGATGTGCATTTAAAAAACAAAACCTAGCAGAGATAATGGGTTTGTTCCAAAGTACCATTTGTGGAGCTCTGCTGATGGAACAGAACTTTCCCTTCTCCCTCCCTCTCTAAAATGCTACTCCTGAGAGACCTGGGGGTCCCTAGTGGGAGGAAGGGAATAGATGAAAGTCATCCCTCTTGCCACTGGTGGAAATGTCTTCGATCAGTGAGAAAGGACCTTTGGTTCCAGTACAGTGCTTGGGTGCTGTCTTAATTACACTGATATTTTGCTGTGTGCCAGATTTTAAAACTACACCAGGATTTCTCAAGAACAGTCTAGTTGCATTCTTGCTGATATGTGGGGGAACATTAGAAAATATGTCCTGTCTATAATTGCTGTGTGGATGCTGTACATGCCTGTGATAAAAAATGTCTTAGCCTCTCCTGCCTCCGTTTCAGAAGGAGAGGCCCTTTTACAAAGTTTGCAGAGTCGCCCTGAAAGGATTATGCATCATGTAAATAAACTTGAAGAGGAAGATGCCTTATTGAAGGATGAAAGTAACACTTACGATGATATTGTATTTGTTGATGTTGTTGACACCTACAGAAATGTTCCAGCTAAATTATTAAACTTCTATCGATGGTAGGTTGGAAAAGAGACTTTGCCTGTGGCTTGAAATGATTGAGTGCTTTTCTACAGCTTTAGTACAATTAATGTCCATTTTTTGTTGCCTTTGTGTGCCCAGTTTGTATGCCTTCCTGCCTGGTTGCACTTTTTCTTCTTTTGCCCTATCATATTCCCCCGAAATGGATGCACATTTTATACCTTCGAGAAAATATGGTTCTTCCCTGAGATTAGTTCATCCCTTGCCGTTTTGATTGTTATATGAAGTGTAACTGGGTGTTAATATGAATATTAATTTGTAATATCATTAATAAACTAGCACATGCAGTCCAAGGGTTGCACTGTTATGTGAACTTCTTAAAAACGTTTATTTTTCTTGACTTTTTTTGTGCCCTTGGTAGCTTTGTGCATCTCCAGTGCTGGGGTACACATCCAGTCCCATTTAAAGTTTTCAGTATCTGTTCTAATCCCACTCTGGTTGGTGCTAAGCCAATCAGCTGATTCCTTTTGGAGGCAAAACCCTATCCCTATTTCTCTGGAGCTTTGATTCCCCCCCCCTCCACCTCGTTCCCACTGTGACTAGAGATGCTACATGAAGGGATAGCCTGGTTTTGGAACTTAATTAGAAACAGGAACATCATGGGGACCAAGATGGGACTCATGACACACCTAGACTGGTTTCCTATTTGTAATAACAATAATGCTTTAGCAATGCAGCGATGGCCAGCTTTTTCACACGTATCACAAGCCACATTAAAATATTAGTCTAGTGTATAGCTACAGTACATATGCAGCTCTGATCTACTGAGTTGGAGAGCAAGACATAGTGCACTGGAGGAATGCAAGTCTCATTTGGACCATAGCTTGAAATCCCTCTTGCTCTTGTCCTGCCTTGTGTCAAAACTCTCTCTGCCAGTGCCACTTGTGGAACTAGTGATGCAAGCTGGTTACTCATGTTTTAATCCTTTTATCAGTGGGTGTCACATTATTGTAACACATAGAGGCTCAGTTCTGACATCACACAAAAGTTTAGTTTATTTTATGGTCAATTTGTGAAACCAGGATTCGGCTCATAGAAGGAAAAGAATTTAACCAGGATATCATTGTTCATACATCATGTGAAAACATGGTTAAGACTAACTGCATAGTTAGTATAGTGTCTCTCATGCAGGAGAGAGTACACTCACCATAGTTTGTTTGATTATACCATGGTCTCATGTGGTGTCAGAACTGAGCCCAAGAACTCTATTAATGGCAAGTACCTGAGCTGTATTTGGAGGAGGGGGAAAGCTGTGATTATGCTCCCCTTGAGTAGATTAAGAAGCTGCCTCACATTGCCTTTTGGAAATTTCTGTTATGTACCAGAGAAGAAATGCAAAGAATGTTAACCTTCCTGTTAGGCTGTGTGTGGTCTTGGACTTTCAGCTACTGTGGTCTATGCAGAGGTGCTACAGGGATCGAAAAACGTGCATCTGCCAGCATTCTTCCATCTCCTCAAGGAATTACATAATGCATGTCATTTTGTCTGTCTGTTTGGTTAGTGGTTCTGTGTGCCATCTTTTGGCCAAAACAGGCTTCCAAAGCAGCTAACAGTAAAGCCAAAAAGTTTGAATAATTTCTATTTTTAATGTTAGTTTACAATATTTACAAGTAAAAATATTGGGTATGCCAAAACAACAGATGCTATCTATTTCTAAGGCCTTTCAAGACAGAAAAGTCTTTAACTTAGTCTGGAAAGCTTGCAGGGATAGTGCTACTCCAGAGGGAGTTCTAAAATTTGAAGGTAGCAATTGAAATGGTCTTCCCCACAGGTCCCAACTAACTTTACTTCAGATGAGGTTGGTTCTTGCAGGAAGGCTCCTCTCTGGAGCTCAGCCTTTGGATGTGGGTGGAGGAGGTCTTTCAGGTGCTTCGGGCCCAGGGGCAAGACCTTAAACAGAGCCCAGGAACAAATCAGTAGCCAGTGTAGCTAGTATATCAGTGGCATGATGCACTCATTACAGCAAGAACCAGTTAATGCATTTGCTGTTTAGTTTCGTATCAGCTTGAAGGTTCCAGACAGTTTTCAGGGGCAGTTCCACATAGATTATATTACAGTATTTTAATGTACATGTTACATTTGTAGCTGTATCATGGTTAAGAGATTTCATTGTTCATCCACAACTTTTTGTTTTGTTTGGCTACAGGACAGTAGAATCAGCAAGCTTCAACGTGTTGCTGAAGACAGACGATGACTGCTACATAGATTTAGAGGCTGTGTTCAACAGAATAAAGCTCAAAAATTTGGGTAGACCAAATACTTGGTGGGGAAAGTAAGAGCCTTATTATTATTAAATTTCACAAGCAAAATCAGATGGGTACCTATGCCCAAAGAGCTTACAATAAAATAGATAGTGGGGGGAAATGGATAAGGGGATGCTTTTAACATGCGTTTCTTGCCCCTCCCATCAATTTTACAGTGTTTCTGTGTTTGCTAGCTTGAACTTTGCTACAAAAAGAAGTCCCTACTTCTGTGACTATAATGTGATTGCTGAAAACAGTTTCAGAAAACTCTTTTGATATGCAGTGTAAGGACCTAAGAGCAGAGCTAAAGACAAGTCCTTACATGCCATGAACTGTAAGTTAACTGTGGGGTTCATAGTAGAAATTCCATATGCAGCTGAAAATGCAGAAACAATACCAGAAACTGATTTGCATTGTTCACTTTGAAAATGAGAAAATTTTACAGCACACACATACAACCCACCCCCCAAAACATGTGCTAGTGTCTTTCTCAGTTAACTTTACTTGATTATCTTAGTAGGTTTGCCTGTTAAACTTGACGCATTTCCCCACAGGTCCTTTATTATTATTTTTATTTATTTTATTTATGTTTGGATTTATATCCCGCCCTACCCCGAAGGCTCAGGGTGGCTTACAGGGGCACTATGTGCCAAGATTATAACAATAAAACACATAATATAAAACAATAAATTACAATAAAATACAGTAACAAGTTTACAATACAAGTTTACAAGTTTAACCAAGATGGGTAGATCTTAACCTCCATGGTAGCTTCTTGAAATCTTGTAATCCAAATCATGCCCGGACGCCTCGTCCTTCTAGTGGGATCCAGACAACCATGATGGTAATACGATAGTGCATAGGGGTGGTGATGGAATAGTGGTGGCGGCGGCTTCTACTCAAAGGCCTGGCGGAAGAGCTCCGTCTTACAGAGAAACTGAGAAAGGTCCCACAGGGCCCGGATCTCCTCCGGGAGCTCCTTCCACCAGGTAGGAGCCGCCACTGAAAACGCCCTGGTCCTGGTCACCGCAAATTTAACTTCTCTAGGTCCTGGAATTTCCAGGAGATGACTCCCCGACCGTAGTGCCCTTGGGGGAACATATGGAGAAAGGTGGTCCCTCAGGTAGGCTGGACCCTGGCTATAAAGGGCTTTAAAGGTCAAAACCAGCACTTTGAAGCGAATCCGGTATGCTATCGGCAGCCAGTGCAGCGCTTTCAGCACAGGCTGAATGTGGTCCCTCCTCGAGAGGCCCATCAACAGCCTGGCTGCAGCATTCTTCACTAGCTGCAGCTTCTGGATTTGCAACAAAAGCAGCCCCATGTAGAGAGAGTTACAGTAGTCTAGCCTTGAGGTAACCATCGCATGGATCACCGTGGCCAGGTCCTCACGGCTAAGGTAGGGGACCAACTGCCGAGCCAGCCGAAGATGATAAAAGACCGCCCTGGCAGTGGCTGCTGCCTGGGTCTCTATCATTAGAGAGGAGTCCAGGCGCCCCCCCCAAAAAACTCCTAACCTCCAATGCTGGTAGAAACTGTGATCTTTTATGGGGAAGTGTGTGTGTGTGTGTGTGTGTGTGTGTGTGAGAGAGAGAGAGAGAGAGAGAGAGAGAAAATGAGGAATATGAAATGATATTTTAAATTAGTGCTTATTTTTTTAATTAAAATTCAGAAAGGTGGTATAGCTTTAGTAGAAACATTCAACTTCCCTCACAACTTATCCAGCAGCTTTTAATTATATTTCTGAAAGTTCTGCCTCCTCTAACAGTGTCCCAGCTATGTTCTGTATTGGCAGTATGAAAGTGAATAACTTGACTTAATAAGTATGTTTATAGTACACTTTCCAGGGAATGTGTCATGTGCCACCACTGTTTGAAGCACTGCTCTTGAACTTTTTGTTCTTGGGATTGGATCCTGTTCTTTTGCTCCACTGATGTATTCTTTCAAGACAAAACACTTCCTCAGGGCACAAGACTCTTTTGAACCATCAAAGTGCTTTGTCCCAAAGGAATACACTGGTGCCAGTGGAACAAAAGTACAGGACCCATACTTACCATTTTGCTTTATTGACTTTATTTTTGCTTGGTCAACCAGACGTTAAAGTGGTAGAAATAGGAGTGTGACACTGTGATATAAGCTGTGTAGGAAACTGAATAGAGTGAAGAAGATGCAGCTTGCTTAGCTTTATGTGCCCTTGGGCAAGCTGCCTCCCCTTTGCTTAAACGTCACATACTTTTAATGAGAACAATCTGCCCTTGGGATAGAATGGGAAAGCAACTTGAATAAATAACTTTGATTTGGCTTTTGAAAGCATGTATCTATAGCCAGTTACATTAGATATGTCCCTCAAGATTTATGTTGATAATATCTTTAGATCCTCTGCAGTCCTAATGGAAGAGTTTTAAGTGCAGACGTTTTCCCTGACCTTAAAATGGTTGCAGTCTGACTCACTGCCCCATTATACCTGAAGGTTAGGAGTGGCAAAAGAAAAACACCTTTCCTTTAATGAGGGTTAAAAGCTTCAACTATAGGGCAGAATATTCGGGTCAGAGGAGCAAGGCTTTGGTGAATGCAGTAATTCTACTGTCTCTAGAGCTCCTTGTACTAGTGGCTCTGGGCAGTCAGTTCGAGTGACCCGTTTAACATGGCTACAATATTATCAGGATGGGGAAAAGGAGAGAGGGGTTGTAGAGCTCAGTGGTAGAGCATCTGCTTGGCATGCAGAAGGTCCCAGGTTCAATCCCCAGTATCTCCAGTTAAATCCCTGGTACCTCCAGTTAAAAAAATCTGGCAGTAGGTGATGTGAAACCTCTGCCTGAGACCCTGGAGAGTTGCTGCCAGCCTGAGCAGGCAATACTGACTTTGATGGACCAAGAGTCAGATTCAGCATAAGGCAATTTCTTGTGTTCAAAAGTACATTTATATTGGGAAGACCCTAAAAACAAATGGCAGGAAGTAGAGGAGGAAATAGATCACCTCTTTCCTGTTGACTCTCCTGTTACTTGTAGGCTGGATAAAAGAAACAGAAAGAAGAATCAGACCAGAAATTTAAAAGCTACTGTCTGAATTACCAGTCTATTTATCTGCATTAGGTAAGAAATCTGTGGAATGAGGGTGCATCACTTCTCTCTAGGAAATGGACAGCCTGATATGACTTCCTCTCAAGCCACTGACAGAAAAAGAACACACTTGAAAGAGACTTAAGTTGCACAGATGAATAAAGAGTTATTTACTAATATCCTTTTCCAAAGAACTTCCATTTTATGATTTTGGTCTTAAGTTTCAGATTAAACTGGGCAGTTGATCGGACAGGGAAGTGGCAAGAACTGGAGTATCCAAGCCCTGCATACCCAGCCTTTGCTTGTGGGTCTGGTTACGTTATCTCCAAAGACATTGTAGAATGGCTTGCAAGCAATTCAGAAAGACTAAAGATATATCAGGTACTGTAACTACGCTGATAATGGAATGGGGGGGATGGGATGCCTGATTAAAGAACAAGTGTGGTTGCATATACAGAAAGGCAGCATTCTAGAACTGGGGCTGAGTGTTTGTTTGTTTATTTTTGCGCCCCAAAGTACACATAATGCCCAGATTTAAATTTATCTAAAGGTTGACTGCTGTACTTGAAGTAAATGAGAAAATGCTTGTAGCTGTGGAAAGAACGCTCATGAATCTACTGGACTGCACCTGGTAATGTTTCACAGCATTACGGTGTGGCCTTTTCTGGTCTTATAAAAGTTTTTTTTGGTTTTGTCTATACATCACATGAAGCCATGTTTTAATTATGCTCAGGGCCGGCTCACCCACTAGGCGAACTAGGCATTCGCCTAGAGCGCCGGGCCTTGGATGGGGCGTGGAACTGTGCCCCCCCGCCAAAAGCCCTTGCGCCATTGCTGCTCCCGGCCACGTGGTGTGGGGGGATGCGAAAGGGGAGCACAAGGCGAGCTCCGCCGGTTCAGGGAGCCACTGCTCTCCCCTGCTCTGCCGCCGAAGCAGCTGCGTCCCCAGCCAGCCATCCCCGCGCCGTCATCCCTGAGTACCGCCAGCTGCCCGCAGCAGCTTCCTTGGTGGCAATGGTGCCTCTCAGACTGGCCTGCGAAGAATGGTCACAAAGCCAGGCGCTGCTGGAGGCTGAGCAGGGTAAGCAGGCGCACCTAGAGGCCGAGCACGACCGCCTGTGCCAGACCTGCGGGATGCGGCCAGCTGTGCAAGCGCTGTGCCCAGGAGGCCCACTGGTGCCTGGACGCTGAGGAGACACTGTGCCGCGGCCGAGGAATGGGACCGCTCCAAGTTTGCCTCGGTGACCCAGCTGGCCCGCCACAACCAGGAGGCCACGTGCGCCGTCCGCCAGGAGACCGGGGAGTAACGGCGCCAGCTGCATGCCTGCTCGGCCCCACCGGGAGGTTGGCATCTGCACTGAGGGGGCGCCACAAGGCAGCCTCACCTAGGGCACAGAAACACTTTGAGCCGGCCCTGATTATGCTAACTATAGTTAGTGGATTATGTAAACTGCTATTTTAGTAACCATAGTTAATTAAGCTCTTTAGGATCTGGATTATTAGCCATACTTAACCATGTCTGTTAAGTGTGATTATGCATAGGGAATCCTGAGTTTTCTGCTTTTCACACTTCCTGGTCTGCATAAAGCTCTCTCCTTGTCTTTGCTTATGGCTTTCTCAATGCAATCCCAACTTTCCTGGGAGTAGCAGAAAAGAGCAAGAGTCCAGTAGCACCTTAAAGACTAATGAAATATGTGACAGGGTATGAGCTTTCATGAGTCACTGCTCACTTCTTCCTGGGAGTAATCCCTACTGAATCAATCTAAGATTCCTGTCTTGCAGGTGTACAACATTAACATACTTCATATATGCTGTGATCAAAACAAACTTTACGTACCTCATTGCTCCAAACAGAGTGGCTAGTGAGGTTTGTCTGGGAAGGGGACCCCCCCCCCCCCCCCCCTTTGACTGGGGTGCAAGGCTGGTTCTCCCAGTCTATGGTAGCATAAAATGGCATGTGCCTCCCTACTACCACTTGTGCCACTGCCAGTGGAAACCAAGGCTGCAGCTCCAGGGGCATCTTGAGTGGGATGGGACAAGGGCTGAAAGGGGTACACCCCATCACCCATGCCATTGCTGACAGGGTTTGGGGACCACCCCACCTTGGGATCTGCTTTGCCTACCACTGGAATGGCAATGCAAGCTTCTGCGGCAAAGTAAGTTATGGAATTAACTTATGGAATTAAACTGGGTGGGGGAGTCTGTTGGACACTTGGGTGTGTGGTTCACTTTAAATGGGATATCTTTTGATTTGGTGCAAGAAAGGGCTAATGTCAGAACTATACAGCTTCAAAGAGAATATAGATCTATAGGTGTGCTGTAATGTATGCAAGTAGAAAGTCAGTTGGAAACTTTCCTTTTGAGCAGGCTGGGATAGAAGCCGGGTGGTTGAAGAGTAAGAAGACTCTGAAAGTAGAATTTGTCAAGGTAAGGTAGGATTGCTAAATCCTAGTTTCACAAACCATGGCTAAAATAAGCCATAGCTTCACATGATGTCTGAATAGAATGATGCTTACCTGTTCTGTTCCCTAAAATACAGATGTCAGGGCAGCTGTCCTTTACAGAAATGTTGTAAATAAGAATGCACAAAAATTAGTCAAAGCATCTACATTAGGTGGCAAATTTTAGTTCTGATTTTAAATTTTGAGATGTCCTGCGTTTGTTTGTTTTTTAAACACATAGGGAGAAGATGTCAGTATGGGTATTTGGATGGCAGCAATTGGTCCAAAACGATATCAGGTATGTTTTTAGTAGGGGTATCATTTTTATGATCACTGTATTCCTGAACAAATCTATCAATTACATTTAAATGAGTGCACATATTAACAAAATATCCATATATATCCTTTCCAGAGCTATTCAAGGAAGTATAAGAGAATTTACAATTTCATCAACCATTTACTACACTGTTAGAAGGAAAGCCATTTTAATATTTAGTCTAGTATCCAAAGAACTGTGAAACTACTTTCATAAGCTCATAGGGAGCTTTGGACTTTCCTCAAACAGCAGTCCCCCGTGTTTTGTGGCAAGCTATTTTTTAAACTTAAGTTTCAAACCAAGTGTGAGCTATAGAGATGGGAAATTTATTTTTAAATTCTACTCTGCTAGTGCATTAGCCCCTTATAGGAGAGACTAGCAAGCTCTTGGCTCCTGGAATAATTTGCTTGGTCTATCAATTAAAGTTTGTGCCTGATTAAAGTTTACTTTTGAAGCAGAATCATCTTGAGCAAAAAACTTGTATGTATTGATCAGAAAAATCAAAGCATTTAACCCTAAAAGATGGCAAATATCTGAAAATATCTCATTTTGAAGTATTTCCTGTCTGAAAGTTTGAGGCAAACTCAGCTGCCTGTCTATACTGATTATGAGCAAGTTTTCTTGAGAAACTACCCAGTGCCATTCCTTTTGTTGTCATAAACTGGGGTTTTAGAAATCACTTTTCAAAGTGACATATGATTCTTAGAAACCATGACAGCCATAGAGGCTATAAGATTATGTGCTAGAAAATTAAGTTTCCTGGGCCTAAGAACAGCCATTATCTTTAAGCCTCCGCTCCCTATGATAATTACGGGTTCAATTTACAAGGTGGTTACTGAAAATTTGTGAAGCGCTGTGAGAGGGGAAAAAATATTCTAGAAACAGCCAGACATCAATTTTAGCAGGAAAATAGCCTCCTGTTCTAGAGATTTTTGTGACAGGCTAAACCCCTACAGAAGGCCTTGCTTGTTCAGAGATTAATTTAAAATGTGCTTTAGTAATTGGAGAACTCTGTAAAATACAAATGTGAAACAAAATATGCACAGAAAAACTGAAAAGCTCCCAGGATAAACAAATTGAGAAAGTTTGATTAATCAATGCAAACTACTTACCCAACTGAGAGGAGGGATGATTCTGTCTTCTGTGAATATAAGATGAAAACTTAGCTAATTGCATTTGCTTAGTCATTTGTTTACTTTTATTGTGGTGTTCACCTCTAATCGGATTGCTATTTTATGTGACACTAGACATCATTAGTCTAGTCCATTCACAGATTTGAGTTTCTTTTCCTGGGTTAAAACTGAGAACACACTTCATTCTTGCACTCAAAAATATAGTTCTCTCTCAAACCAATGGACAAGTTATCTTCTTTTCAAAAGTAGAATAGCTTAGTTAATATTGCCTTTTAATTTTACACCCTCTTTGCCCTACCACTGAGGAATGAGGCCATGTCTAAGATGACAGTGATGTTCCTAGGGTTCACTCACAGAAGTCCATTTCCTAGAGGCCAGTGGGGTCACTGTTATATGATCTCCTAATTCTAACAAATCCAACCCATGTGAGGAAGTTTTCTGATCAGAAGCAACAGTGGCATCTCCTGTGTGGAATTACTTTCCCAAAAGAAAGTTGCTCTCGCCTTTCTCTTTCCCAGTCCTGAAATGGGGTTAATAACTAATGATTCAAGAGGGTGCTACCAGCAGGGGGAACTTATTTAACAATTAGTTATAACTTCTATGATGAATGATCTGGTCCTTTTATTGCTGTTTTAAAGTTTTATACTACTTTTTATTTTTACTGTGTTTGATTGTGATGGTTTATCTTAATTTTTTTCTGTTGTATTGCACTGAATAATTGCATTGGAACATTAGAGAGTGGTTCGAGGGCCACTGATGCGATTAGTAATTGCAAAAGATCTTGGCCAAAAGGTTTTCTCTGGTCAGGTGGTAACTGATGCATGGCCTCTTGGCTGACTTTTCCTTCACATTAAAGAGCTCTTAATCTTATGTCCAAACCATAAAAACGAATGTGAAATTCTGAAAATTTTTAAACTGCATAATCATTTCTTAAATAAGCCATTGAATTTTCTTTGGCTTTCACTATAAGTATTTCAAGTAGATATTTTCATAATTCACTCAGTATTCCAAACCAGTCCTTAACATTACATGTATTCTAAATTAGTTCCATCCATATTTATTCATTATAGGAGTAAGGATTACAGTAGTTAGTGGATTCAGAGGAGTAATTGTGTTGGTCTGAAGCAATAGAACAAAATTTGAGTCCAGTGGCACCTTTAAGACCAACAAAGTTTAATTCTGGGTATAATTCTTTGAATTCTGATGAAGTGTGCATGCACACAAATGCTTGTACCCAGAGTTAGGGTGCCACTGGACTCAAACTTTGTTCTAGTAGTTAGTAGATACCCACCAGCCCCTGCAGCATGCATTTGAAATTTGCTGTTGTTTTATCTTTTCTCAAAGTTTACAGTATTCTGGTCTAAACTAGTTTTTCCTGGCACCTAGTACCACAGAAATTTATTTTTTTCCCAACTGTATGTGGAATAGAAATTATATTATCTGTTAAAGAGAAGAAACAAAAACCAAGTTAAAAGGCTGTGTCCTCAGAGTAATTATTTTCGTAAGAGTGACTTGACAAAAAGATACTTGATGTTAAAGTTATCTTTAGGGCAGATATTCCCTTTCCTATTAAGGAAACACTGAAATAACTCTCTCTTAAACAGGACAATTTGTGGTTATGTGAGAAGACATGTGAGAGTGGTATGCTATCTTCTCCTCAGTATTCTCCACAGGAACTTACAGATCTATGGAGAATAAAAGAACTTTGTGGAGATCCCTGTAAATGCGAAGAAAGTTGAAGACCTGACAAAGCAAAATGCAGCAGCTTCATCTGGACAGTTTCTGCAGAAGTTCTCAGTTATGCATTAGACAGGCAAAATCTCATAAGGCCACTTCTCACAGAAGAAATCTCCTCCATACAACTGTAGATTGGCACTTGTGGTGAATGCATAAGTGTCTGTCAGTATCAGTTATTCCCCCCCCCCACACACACCCATGGTTATAGGCACTGACATGTGTGCATTCATTGCAGGTGGTAAATTATTCATATTTATCCTTAAAATAGTTAATTTCTCGTGTGAACTGGCCCTTATTGCAGTGTTTGCACAGCCCTTTAGTTTTTAAAGGGGACATTCTCTATTTTCAATTACAGTACAGTTTCTGAAACTGGGGCCCAGAAACCCCTGAAGGGGGGATGCAAATCCACTTTAAAGAGAGAGGATGAGCAGTTCTTAGGCCATCCAGCTAAGGTGCAAATAGAGTGCTATTAGTTTTCTAGGAATGTGGGAAGGACTCTCCACCTTAGGGGAAAGAAAAGGGTTTGCCCTTTTTTTGAAGAGAGAGAATTCACAGAGCTACTTCTGCCTGCAGTCACCTAGCTTCTAGTTCACCTTGGAGCACCCGGTAGAAAATGTGCTGGGAACTAATAATTCATCCCTAGGAAATCTAATTGGTTGACTGGTGCCAAGGAGGTAAACTCCTACTGCAGTCATCAGTTACTTCTGAAATAAAATTAAAATAGATTTTATATTCTATTGCTAAGGATTTCATTAGAGAGAGAAATGCCATTTTGCATCCATAGATAATAGCCAATGGTAGTTTTAAATTGATTACTGGGTGTACAGATTGTATGTGGTGTTGGTGCTTTTCAGTTCTATGGGCAATTCTTGAAAAGGTTTCCTCCCACCCCTGCTCAACCAGTCTCTAGTGCTAAATCTCTTGCAACCAAATGGTAAGACTGATTAGAACTTGGGTCAGGGCCTTTGGAGTTGTGGCAGTATAGAATCAGCTGACCTTGTAGGCCACATCTAGATGAAAAGGTTTTTCTTAACCTTGCTTTTAAAGTGCAGCTGGTGAGGGGACTCACTGTATTTTGCTAAAGATGCAAGTGGTTTGCTGCACATGTTTTGAAAGCGAGCTGCCTACTGTGTGCTGATGAATGGGGGGGGGGCCTCTGGTTGCTAGTGTTTGAGAACTGCTGCTACAGTAGACTTAAAGCCAAATGCCTAACTAAAGCAATTTCTGTTATTGAGGAATCAGTTGGCATTAGTAGGTACAAATGTAGATAAACTTGAACTTTTATGCAGTAGAGTGTAAAAACAAGGACTTGAAGCTAAGTTCAGAAACACGGGTGTGCTAGTGTTAAGAAGCTTGTAATTAGGCCTGAAGTTCCATGCCAACATGCTTCTTTCTGGAGCAGCGATGAAAGATTACATGTGGTTGCTTGTTAAAGTGATACTGAGAGATGTTTTTAATCCTGTGGTTTAGGTTCTGGGGACAGGGAAGAGGCAGTGCATCTGAACCTCTAGCTATAGGCCCCCCCCCCCGGTTGGCAGTTAGGAGAGGTCTCTTATGCTGCAATGATTCTGCCTCTTCCTACCTTGAAGTACATAATCAGGAGCTAATGCACTAAACATTCCCATGCAGAGCTGGGCATAGGAGCAATCCATAAGTATTTTTAAGCTCAGCTGTCATTCCACACTTGTAAGAAATATGACCACTGGGTTAGATGGGGGGAATAATATTTTGCCTAATTTTTGTCGGTTGAACACTGTACCTCCGTTCTGCTGAAGTGATGAGCAAGGTTGTTCCTTTAACACAAGAAAATAGGGTTTTTTAAAAAGTACATCACTCCTACTGATTATTCTGTATGTTAATTAGGAAAATAGCACATACATGGATTATACTTGCTTTCATTATAGACTGCTTAAAGAGTTTCCTATTTCCCACAACAATGTATAGGAAGTATTCTCAAAAGACTTTTAACACCACAAGCTAGAGGAACCAGTAGTTTATTTTAGAAGCAGCTTTCAACCTTTAAAAAAAAAAGAAGGTTCTTCCAGATATATACAGTTAACACTCAACATATGTACATTTAATTGTAGAGGTTCTGCAAGGAGCCTGTGGTTACTCTTCAAAAACAACATTAAAGTTGGCTGCTACCAGCGTACTAGAATGCAGTCTTCATTTTCAATAGAGTAAAACTGCAAGGGCTTGAGGTCGTTGTCCAATTCAAATTCTTTGCCTTTCATCTAGGATAAGAAAAGTGTTGTTAGGTTCATGCATTTCAATCCTGTATACCTTTTTTTAAAAAAAGACTTAAGTATTTGGGATCAAGCCACCTCTACTCAGAGCTGAACAGGGCCCATAATCATAGTTTGTCTGCTCTCCTCTTAAAAGACTTTCATTCAATAGTGTGTTAGAGTTCAGTGTTGACCTTTAGCAGTGTGCCAAGTTGTATTATTCTGAATTAAGTCTGAATTCATGTATTGTTGCATTACTGAACTTAAACTTACTTTAGAACTTTCATAGGATAGTTTCAGTGCTGAACCTGGAATTCTCAGTAGACGATACAGCAATCCTTTGACCTTCTGAATAGTCATTGACTCTGTACAGGGAGAAAGAATATTTGAAATTCTCCATCTGATGCATTTACACCGCAGCAACTTAAGTTCTAGCAGACAACAGTGACAGTAGATTTGCAACTCTGAGGAAGCAATTACTAGCACCATCTCAGTTTGACATTGTTACTACCTTGACAAAATTCTAAGCCTTTATAAGCCAAATTGGAGAATTTCCAGTTGATATATACATACTGACCTAAGTGACCTTCAGGATTTAGTTTTGGGAATTTGCCCTTTTGTACTCTTGACCCTAGGAGTAAAGGCCCTTCCCTCTACCGAAAATGTGTCATTCTGGGACTTCATGTCTTGATCACCAAGTTGTGGATGCTAATTAGTTAGCTAATTAATTGTGGATGCCATAGCTTAATGCACTTAATGTATTCTGAACCAATACATATGAACAGGAAGGTATTTTTATAGCAAGACTTGAATGAACAAATTACTTTAAACAAAATCAAATTCTAACAATGCAAAATATTGGCTGTTTTGGCTAATTTTCCCCATTTCTTTTAAAGCTTTAGCTGATGGCACAGCAATAGTGAGTTATTCCTCTATTGTCACAAAATGTACTTGGGTAAATATTTTTCTATAAACTTTTTGGAAAAGCTGTATCATTTTATGCAACTTGTGATAAATGTGATTTTTATTTTAGAATAAATACTTTTCAAAATACGGTATTGCAAATGTCTGTCTTATTGAAAGGTACATGTATTATTGCATTACTACAAGAAACACGAACGATTGTCTTCATGCTGGCATCTTTTTTCACAAGATTAAACTATAAGCACTTAAAGGTCTGATTAGCAAAGAAGTTGTAAACATCTTAATCTAATTTAAAATCAGTACATTAACTGCAAAATGACATAACGGACACTTCATACCACCTTGCCAATACCACTTGGCAGAGTTTCAATTTTCACAGAACTAGCATTTCAGTGAGAAGGTTCCTTCCTACCTAACATTTTTGTAGGAGGAGGAGAGAATACTATCATGTGAGCTTCCACTTAAAGTGATACATCTACAATAAAAATTAGAGGTTTTACAAGAGCTTAAGTTTATATTACATAGAATAATCTTCACCACAGAACACCTGGCTGACTTGCTAAGCACATTCAAAGTCATGCAAAAGCAGCCTACTTGAAGTTCTTCTGCAATAGAATTTTAATATCTGAAAAGTATGGGTTTTTTTGTTTTTCAAACCAGTAGTCTTAGAGATGCTTCTTGAATTACAATTTGAAGACACAGGATAAGTACAGTGCCTTTGAACAAGCATGTAAACATCAGAATTTTAAAACACAAGGCAACAAAAACTTGTCAAATGAAGAATGTCTGGCCTCTATATCTTCACCTTTGCCACTATTCATGTGAAGGAGATTCAGTGAATCCTTAGATCACAAAATATTTCTACACTCTTGGAAATACAACACAGATTCTTGTCCTTACCTGGTAGTTTCTTCATTATGGGGTTCTGATCAGGTTTGTCAGGACATTTAATAGTCAAAGCTTAAGAAAAAAAGGGATGTGAAAATTTTAGGTAAAGTACACACTTAACAGTTCTCCCTCTCAGTTCTTTATACAAGTATTTCTACACAAACCTGTCTACACAGTATGCTTTTGAGTATAGCAGCCCTGATAACTATTTGGAGAACAGTGATGCACACATTGCCAACACAACCAAGTCATAACCCTCTACCTTATGGAAGAAAGCAGTAATCACAATGGCAAAGTGTTACCGAACAGAAGAGACTGTCTACCAACTGATGATTAAGAACATAATAAAAGCCTTGCTGGATCAGACCAGTGGTCCATCTAATCCAGCATCTTGTCTCACACAGTGGCCAAGCAGTTCCTCTGGAGGTCCAACAACAGGGCATAGAGGCTGAGGCCTTCCCCTGATGTTGCCTCCTGGCTCTGGAATGCAGAGGATGACTGCCTCTGAATGTGAAGGTTCCCTTTAGTAAACATGGCTAGTAGCCACTGATACACCTATCCTCCATGAACCTATCCAAACCCTTTAAAGCTAGCTATGCCTCTGGCCATCACCAAATCCTCTGGTAGCAAATTCCACATTTTAATCACTTCTTGTGTAAAGAAGTATTTCTTTTTGTATGCCCTGAATCGACAGCCCATCAGCTTCATTGGATGCCCTCGAATTCTAGAATCAAAACAGACTTTTAATGGCTATATCACTTTTCATACAGAATTATAAGACTATGAACCACACAATCCCTTGCAGATTCTGAGGTCTACAGAAGTCATACAGAAACAGAATGAGCCACCTATTGTATGTTCTGATGGGGCTGTGCAGACCATGTGAACTTTGACACTATAAAAGATATTTAACCTGCACTGAATTTCACTTCTAATATAGTGCTACATTTTATTAGTCTATAAAATGCATATTTAAACAACTTGAACAACTACTAGTACACCATCATGTCTTACATAGCAGTTGGTGTTTAAGGGAAAATGGCTGTTCTTTTTTCAGCTCTCCATCTTCAGGGGCACCATACTCTTAAGGGAAAAAACAGAAAAAATAGATTAGTTTTACATGCCTAAAACACAGTAACAATCCAAGGTGCAAGTTGGTGAAAAGGAAGGGGATGTGCCTCCTGTAGAATTTTAAGCTTCCCCAAGGTTTCTAGTTGGTAAAGACACAGTATCCATAAATGGATGCAAAAGATGGAGGGAAACAAGTTTTGCTCTCACAGGGAAAGAACAGATGTAGCACATTTGCATGGGGTTACCAACCTCCAGATGGAAATTGGGGATCTCTTGTTACCTGATCTCCAGACAACCAAGATCAGTTCCCCTGGAGAAAATGGCTGCTTTGGAGGATGGACTCTATGGCATTATACTCTGCCAAGCTCCTTCCCTGCCCCAAATCCTCCTCCAGGCCCCCAAATCTCCAGGTTAGAGATGTAAAATTTCTGGAAATTTTGAAGCGCGGGAAAAAAACCCAGATTTTTTCTAGGTTTTTTCAGGGGGGAAACTGTAATTTTTGGAAAAATTGAAAAAAATGCTACATTAGCACTGTTTTTTTCTTTTCCAGATTGAAAGTCAGTTTGGGCGACTTCCGGTACGGCGCAGTGAGCGAGCGGGCGCTCTTTGGGACTCCCGAATCGCCCACTCCCCTCTTTGCTCTTTTTGGTGCTCTCCTGGTTTACTGGGGGCATCGCCCAACCTCCTGAAGGGAGGCAGGGTACCAAGGGGCTCCACCCGGCCACCCCCGCACCTGGGAAGTGTGGGGGAGAGCCGTTTTTGCCTCAAAGCGGGAGCGACCGAGGGAAGGAAACATGGCCTCCATGTTTTCCAATAGCTGCGACCAGCTGTTTTTAAGGATTGTTTCGTTTAGGGTTTTTTCTTTTTTCTTTAGTTTTTTCTTGCAACAAAGGAAATTTGTGAATACGCAATTGCTTTCTTTATAATTGGTGGTGACCCTTATTAAATGACCCCCACAAGACTGTCTCAAATTTTTGAAATGTTTACGCAGCCATGGAAAGGAACGGAGCAAAAGACAGGAAAATGGCGTTAAGTGGGCAAAAGGAAGAAGTCTCAGCAGGAGAAATAGTATTAATTTACTTAGAAAATAGTGAATTTGGACATATAACTCTGCACCAGTTAAAAAACCTTCTAATTAACAAGGTGTGGCAGGCAGCTGAGGACGCCTGCAAAAATATTATTAAGAACCTTCTAACTAAAGACCCAGAATTGGAAATCAAACAGAAGCCTGCGCAGGAAGAACAGGAGGAGCCCCTGCAATGTCAGCGTTTTGTGATTTCAGAGAAGGAATAAGGCAACTGCCAAGGCAAAAAAGTACAAGGGCCTCAGTCACACGGGCCGGATATCACAGGGGGGGGAGGTGTGGCTGTTTGCCCTGCAGCGAAATAACGCATGACTGCGCGATCAGGCGTCCCCTCGCGGTCCTGTCGAAGTCCCGTGGTTAGGGGGGAGGTGCCAATCACACGACGCGCCAAAGAAGCAGCACAGCAAACGGGGTTGTTGTTTTTTTTTAACCTGAAGTATGCGCATGCCCCGTTGGGTGCTTGTGCGCATCCCTGGAGACTTTGAAGGAAAAAAAAACCCTTTTTGCAATGGGGCATGGGCGGGCGCCGGATGCCACTGGAAACGCGATCAGACGCCCGCCCTTGCCCCGCGGTTTCCGGAAACTAGTACCTCCGAGGTACTAGTTTTTTACTGCGCGTCTTCGGCGGGAAGCCTCGGGTGAGCCACGGGAGCTCTACGCTTCCCAGGTGTGGCGGTGAGATCACGCCCGGAAAATCCGCCTATCTTCCATCCGTCTAGCGTGGCTAATGCTCCGTGTGACCGGGGCCAAGATTTGTTTTCTATACCTATGGAGACGGAAAAGAAACGCTCCCAGGTAAAAAGCTGTGTAAAGTACTTTGTAAACCGAACCAAGACAGCAGGATTTACAGAAGGGAATGCTCGAAAGCAGAAGCGAAGAAACTGACTAAAAAGAGAGAGAGGCACTTTCCAAAGAAAAGCACTGAAGACAGTAAAGCATACGTGACAGAACTGACTAAACAAGAAAAGCAAAACGGAGCAGAATTCCATGAGTATAAAGAGGAGAGGCATCAAGAAATTATCATTAAGAAGAGGGCGCTTCAGGAAACAGGGTTGCCATCTGTACTATGTGGTAGCATAAATCTTTTTTTTTTTTGGTCTATATAATGAATGAAATGTGGGTGGTGCTATAAGATGGAAATTAATGTACTGGATTAAGGCATTTTGATTTATTCCGGAATGATAATAAGAATTTTAGATAGATAACCTCTTTGCAGTTTAATGATTAAGTACTCTTGTGTTATCTTTAAAATTCTGTTTCTGTTGTTGCCTAAAGGAATTATTTTTTGTTATCATAATACAAAGAAGCTAAATACTGTAAGAATGAAGGGGGTAGTTTATTCATAATTTTTTACTCTCAGGAAAGCAAATGAATGGTAAAAGTTAATTAAGATCTGATTTTAGATCATTAATTTTGAGTATCTGATTTTTGGGTTTATTATATGCTTGGATATTCTCCAGAAAGTCAGGAATAGAAGGGTAATATACAGTCTTGGTAGATTTAAATGGTTATACACGCCTATGTTATCTTTAAAACCTTATTTCTAATGATGTTTACAGGGGTTATTTCTGTTATTCTAATGCAAAGAAATGAAATAGGACTAAAGTTTTGAGTATTAATCTGTTAGAATATAGTCTATAAAAATACGGTTAAGATTGGCAAATAAGGTTATAGATTTGTTTGGGTCCGTTAAACATTTGAAAAATTTTTGTTGAGAAGACTGTTGGAAGGCTCAGCTGTTGCTGGTATCTGTTGAGCTAATTAAAAGAAGAAAATGTGATAGGTAATCATTGTAGAAATTCAATGTAAATCTGAGAACCTTTATTTTTTGGATTGAATGGGTGGATGAATTATGAGAAATATGCATTGATTTATATAGCTAAAAAATAAGATATGAAGAAATATTTTCAGGTTACTTTTGTTTGTTGCAAAGATGTTGTAAAAAGTAATTTTCGATTGGGTATTTGTTTATTTGTTTTGTCTTTGAAAATCAATAAAGATATTTTATATATATATATATATAAAGAAAGTCAGTCTGTTACTTTAGGAACATAAAATATGACTATGGACATTTTTACTTGACATGAAATTATCACAACTAGCATATTAAAAATATAGTGTATTCAAACAATTATTACAAACAGAATACCCACCCACATGCAAAAATAAAACTGAAACCTTTTTCTTTTCTTGTGACAGTAGCATCTCCTAAAGGAAGAAATGCATCTCGTTCTTGCATTGGAGAGTTCAATTTGTAACCTAGGACTTGCTTGTCCTCAGTGCACAGAAATTAGATCAATCTGACACCATACATATTTTTTAGAAATGATTTGGAAGATATTTGAACACCTTGTCTTAAAATATTTTATTCACGTTAAAATAAAACGTTCCATAATCATTTTTTTCTTTTCTTTTTTCAATGTTTCCAATTTTTTGGAAAAAAACAAACAAACAAAAAAAAAACCCGTTTCCCCCCACAATTTTTCCGTTTTTTTCCCGGGCCTTCACATCTCTACTCCAGGTATTTCCCAACCCAGAGCTGGCAACCCTACATTTGCAGCATACATTTTGAAATTTAGAAAATCCAGAATTCCCAAATATTAGGATCTCCATGAATAGCCATTTCCCACTTAACACACACATGCCACTTTTTACAAGGTTTCCACCAGCACTCTGATCTTTTCCCAGTGCCTATGCCAGCCTAAAAACAGTTGATAAGATGTGGGAATAGCCACTATCATCCGGCAGCAGTACCAGGCGTTATGAAATGACTGCAGTCTGGCCATGAACTCTATCCCTGTCTTACAGTTGGAAAGGACCATTGTTAAAGTACCGTCTGGTGTCTGTGCTTGCTTTAGGATATCATAAGTGCAGTCAGGCATCACTTTGCTCTACCCCATTCCCCCCTATCTTGGCAAGACCACGGCAACACCAATCAGGATACAACTCTCTGCCCCCACAACCCTTGGTGCTAGCTTATCTGTGGAATGTCGCAGTTTCTTTTCTCAAGAAGCCAAGCTAAACTTTCTGAGGAATGGGTTTCACCTTCTTCCTCTTGCAAGCAGCCTAACCTGCCCTCTAGAGTAGTCAATGAAAATGAATATTAGGGATTATTCTGAATATCTAGAACTACAGAATTCAGATTCATGATTATTTGTAACTGTTTCAAATACAGCATCATTTGGTGCTTCTGAATATTTCCAGTTCTGAATTGCACATCCCTAGAAAGTAAATGCAAGGCAAGTATAAGAAAGGGACCTGCAAGTTTGAAAGGAACACACTATGCAGACATGCAGGTAGCTGGAAACCTCAAGATAAAACACTAAAGCAAAACCTTCTATTGTCAAGCACAAAGAGTGTAGTGGCAGCATAAGCTTTCATGAGCAGACGCATCTGATAAAATGGACTCTAGCCCACAAAAGCTTATGCATTAATAAATCAGTCTCTAAGTTGCTGCAACAAATTAACTCCCCACTTGAACTTCTATCATTACCAATGCTCCCTCTAAGCTGTGGAGTCCTGTGAGCAAAAATTCTACTTTGTGAGCTACTGGCAATAAAGTTGTGAGCGAGCAATTTGGCTAATGCATACATTAATTTGCTCTGGAGCCATCCTTCCTGAGCTAGACAAAAATGTGTGAGCTGGAGGCTAAAAAACTGTGCGCTAGCTCCCACTAACTCAGCTTAGAGGGAACACCAGTCATCACTATACTCACTATCACAGAATAACTGGAACCTGGGATGGGCTGCAAGAAATTCCTCGCTTGGTCTGTTTTTGTTTGGGTCCTGATGACCACCAGCCTTTAGCCAATCAATTCCAAATTTTTTTCTGTAGTCAAGTTCTGCTCCCTTCCTTTCTTCAGGAAAGATCTACAGTGGAACACAGACAAAATACATCTTATGTCTGTACTGCATTATCAGAATAGGTGAACCAGTTGTATAAAAGGAGAAACACTATTCATCATAAGACCACTACTTGAGGTAGTACACTTTTGCTAATTTGAAATCTTTCATAATAATGGATTGAACTGTTCCGTTACTTAATAGAAGCAGAGCCCAATCAGCCAGAGTCCCAACTGACATAAACTCCCAAACAGCTCAATCTATATTTAAATTCTGATTGCCCATTTCATTCATTGTCCTGGCTTAAGTTTAGGAACAGATGTCCTCCTGGCTCTAACAACAAGCATGCACATTCTCCTCCCACACCTTTATCAGCCTAGCTTCCCCTTCAAAAATACTTCCAGATTTAACTTTCCAGATGTCAGAAAACCCTAAATTATCTCACTCCACAATCCTAAACATTAACAGTTGCCTGACTACAACTTCAGTGATAACATTCCTGCAAAGATGCTGCACGGGATCATGTGCTGTGGTCTGGAGAACCATGCTGCTAATGCTGACTGCACAGCATGGCTTCTTAAAAACATGACAAGATGGTTAACAATTAAACACAAAACTTTATATGAGTATATCCAGTTAAAACCAAAGCTAAAATCAAATTACCTAATTCTCAACATGGCCAAATCTCAGCCAATTTAAAGCCAGAGACTGGAGCCATGAACAGACAAGATAGATGTTTCTACAAATGTGAAAATGACTCAGGTTTGTAGGAAAAAAAGAAAACTTTAAAAAAAAGTACATTGGGAGGTTTAAAGTCCCCAAAATAATAGAGCTAGCACCCGTACCTTTAAGAAATGAATGCTCTCGGTGGCTGTTGCTAGGCAACCACACTACTTCAAGCCTTGGTTTCCATCAGTAAAAGGCAAGGGGAGAAGACAGGGTCTTTTCCAGGCCTGTTATGGTCTCTTAAGGAGGACTCACGGAAACCAGACCCACAAGCGACTCTCAGGCAACTTGATATCATGAGACATGCATGACTAGGGTTGCCAAGCTCCAGGTGGGACCTGGAGATCAACCGCTTTTACAACTGATCTCCAGCTGACAGAAATCAGATCCCCTGGAGAAAATGGCTCCTTTGAAGGGTGGACTCTATGGCATTGTACCATGCTGAGGCCCCTCCCCTCCCCATACCCCACCCCCTCCTGGATCCACCCCCACAGTCTCCAGGTATTTTCCAATCCAGACCTGGCAACCCTACACATGACTCACCAAGTACTGGCTGCTTGCTACTGTTCAACAGCAGCCACCCAACAAAAGCCAGTGTTTTGTAGTGGTTAGCATTTCAGACAAGGATCTGGGAGAATAACCTAATTATTATGTAATGAATAATGTAACCTTTCCCCAATGTAATCCACTGGAGAAAAAAGCAAAGTACGAATGA